GGCCCCGCAGAGCCCAGAGGCGGGCACCCTGCAGGGTCAGCCCAGGCCCTGCCTCCCTGTGACGGGCACCCCTGGCCCCGCAGAGCCCAGAGGCGGGCACCCTGCAGGGTCAGCCCAGGCCCTGCCTCCCTGTGACGGGCACCCCTGGCCCCGCAGAGCCCAGAGGCGGGCACCCTGCAGGGTCAGCCCAGGCCCTGCCTCCCTGTGACGGGCACCCCTGGCCCCGCAGAGCCCAGAGGCGGGCACCCTGCAGGGTCAGCCCAGGCCCTGCCTCCCTGTGACGGGCACCCCTGGCCCCGCAGAGCCCAGAGGCGGGCACCCTGCAGGGTCAGCCCAGGCCCTGCCTCCCTGTGACGGGCACCCCTGGCCCCGCAGAGCCCAGAGGCGGGCACCCTGAGATCAGGGCCCTGTCAGGCCAGGCGCAGCCCAGACCCCGGCCGAGATCAGGGCCCATCGGGCCAGGCGCAGCCCAGACCCCGGCCGAGATCAGGGCCCTGTCAGGCCAGGCGCAGCCCAGACCCCGGCCGAGATCAGGGCCCATCGGGCCAGGCGCAGCCCAGACCCCGGCCGAGATCAGGGCCCTGTCAGGCCAGGCGCAGCCCAGACCCCGGCCGAGATCAGGGCCCATCGGGCCAGGCGCAGCCCAGACCCCGGCCGAGATCAGGGCCCTGTCAGGCCAGGCGCAGCCCAGACCCCGGCCGAGATCAGGGCCCATCGGGCCAGGCGCAGCCCAGACCCCGGCCGAGATCAGGGCCCTGTCAGGCCAGGCGCAGCCCAGACCCCGGCCGAGATCAGGGCCCATCGGGCCAGGCGCAGCCCAGACCCCGGCCGAGATCAGGGCCCTGTCAGGCCAGGCGCAGCCCAGACCCCGGCCGAGATCAGGGCCCATCGGGCCAGGCGCAGCCCAGACCCCGGCCGAGATCAGGGCCCTGTCAGGCCAGGCGCAGCCCAGACCCCGGCCGAGATCAGGGCCCATCGGGCCAGGCGCAGCCCAGACCCCGGCCGAGATCAGGGCCCTGTCAGGCCAGGCGCAGCCCAGACCCCGGCCGAGATCAGGGCCCATCGGGCCAGGCGCAGCCCAGACCCCGGCCGAGATCAGGGCCCTGTCAGGCCAGGCGCAGCCCAGACCCCGGCCGAGATCAGGGCCCATCGGGCCAGGCGCAGCCCAGACCCCGGCCGAGATCAGGGCCCTGTCAGGCCAGGCGCAGCCCAGACCCCGGCCGAGATCAGGGCCCATCGGGCCAGGCGCAGCCCAGACCCCGGCCGAGATCAGGGCCCTGTCAGGCCAGGCGCAGCCCAGACCCCGGCCGAGATCAGGGCCCATCGGGCCAGGCGCAGCCCAGACCCCGGCCGAGATCAGGGCCCTGTCAGGCCAGGCGCAGCCCAGACCCCGGCCGAGATCAGGGCCCATCGGGCCAGGCGCAGCCCAGACCCCGGCCGAGATCAGGGCCCTGTCAGGCCAGGCGCAGCCCAGACCCCGGCCGAGATCAGGGCCCATCGGGCCAGGCGCAGCCCAGACCCCGGCCGAGATCAGGGCCCTGTCAGGCCAGGCGCAGCCCAGACCCCGGCCGAGATCAGGGCCCATCGGGCCAGGCGCAGCCCAGACCCCGGCCGAGATCAGGGCCCTGTCAGGCCAGGCGCAGCCCAGACCCCGGCCGAGATCAGGGCCCATCGGGCCAGGCGCAGCCCAGACCCCGGCCGAGATCAGGGCCCTGTCAGGCCAGGCGCAGCCCAGACCCCGGCCGAGATCAGGGCCCATCGGGCCAGGCGCAGCCCAGACCCCGGCCGAGATCAGGGCCCTGTCAGGCCAGGCGCAGCCCAGACCCCGGCCGAGATCAGGGCCCATCGGGCCAGGCGCAGCCCAGACCCCGGCCGAGATCAGGGCCCTGTCAGGCCAGGCGCAGCCCAGACCCCGGCCGAGATCAGGGCCCGCCGGGCTGGGCGGAGCAGGGACCAGCAGGCAGTTCAGCGAGGAGGCCTGGCCTGGGGGTCCCCAGCATGGCCCTGGGGAGCCCAGAGGAGGAAGCGATGCCGAGGGCCAGAGGTTGGTCCGGGGGCGATTGAGCCACGAGGAGACGGGGCTCCCAGGGGCTGGGCAGGGGGAGAAGGGACGAGCTGAGGGCAGCAGGCTTGGGGTTGGGACGCAGGGCCAGCCTCCCCCACACCACTGCTCTCTGGGGACCCCGGGGTCCTGGCCAGGGCTGGGTCACAAGGGCGCTCCAGGGAGTCAGGCGGCCGCGCGGCTGACGCCAGCGGAGGGGCAAGGTCCTCCTGGCCGGAAAGGGGCGGCCGGGCGTGCGGCATGGGAGGGCCCAGGGGCACTGGGTGCAAGCGGCTAACCACGGGCGGCACCGGGGGCAGG